AATTTAATGTTAAAAAAATATAAGATTAAAATATGTTGAATAATGCTAAATGTTAATGTTATAATGTTAAACGTTATGTTAATGAGTTCGCGTCCGTCGCGGTTACTGTGAAAACGTGAACTAACTCATTTTTTGTAATTGTCAAACTATAGCGATTGCGTTGTTGTTAACGCCAGCAGAAATGTACGGTTGGACCGTACAAGCAATAATAGTTAGCGAAAAGAAGGATAATAAAGATAAAAAGAGACAGAAAATTGAATACTTAAACAGAAAATTGTATTCCGAATACACGTAATACAATTTTTAAAAACTAGTACCATTTATGTTATTATTTTGGGGCTAGTGGTACCTGTATTGGCTTGCTCGCGCATACCTACGAAAAAGTAATTTTGTATAGCCTACAAAACATTATTCCAAGTTTATTATATTATGTAAATAGCTTCTACAATAAAGGAGAAATTCCTAATGTTATGGTAACTTTTTTAAAATTAATGTATGATTTTTGTAGAATTTTATCGCAATATAAAGAACATTTGAACATCTTTGATTTTATTGCCTCGTCCAACATACTCTTAAATCTATTTATTTTATTATTAAGTACATGTCATTAGGCGCATTACATTTTCTTGCATTTTGAAATGCACCTTTACATTATAAACACAGTATTAATATTGATTACGAGTTACATCATCTAGAAAGGTACTACATTTTATACAAAAAAAAATCAGACTAACATATAGTTATGTTGTCTATATAAATAGAATTTCATTTACCTAATAATACAATATAATTAATATTTTATTTAGTCTAGTGCCTTTTCTTATTACAATGCGTATAAAAAATCCTACAACAAGTTACAACTTGTCTATCGATATATCACCGCGCCGCACTTAACTATTATTACATAAGTACAAAAAAATTATTGTATAATTACCATTGATTTTGATACATTAATATCAAGTTAAAGTTCACACATCATTCATAATTTAAGTATAAAAGAGCACACAGGTACAATTTTCAACGACGCACGCGTGAACGTTTGAACACATTCGTACACATACACATACACACTCAGACACGCACACAACGACGCCCAGTAACATACATTTGGTTGATATGCACGGAGTTTTTCCCGTTTGTTCATCTTGCTATGACTGCTCAGCCATCTGCAAATGAGATATATCAACAAATTATTCTATTGTGTCTGACATTTTAGTGTTAATTTATTGTTTCTTATATTTACGTGAATATTGATTATTTATTTGATGAAATTTATAGATATTACAATGATTGTAAGAATTTTGTAAAACCGTAGAAATTAATAGCATTAATTCGAGTACCTATGTATTTAAACTCCACAACACGCGATGAAGCTTATAGCATTATTATAAACCTTAAAAATACAAAATCTTACGGCTGACCATATTACTATTGACATTGTTTGGAAAAATGCAATTAACATTTAACCAATTTTGAATAGTCTTGTAAAGTTGTATTTCTCTTAAGAAGTATTTCTAGTATAGTTTAGAAAATCCAAAAGTGCACGCCTCATGAACGTTTCATTTAGTTTTGATGAAAAAAACAAATTCCCAAAATAAATCGATTACACAATGTATAAAATCGATACAGGCTGTATGGTACATTT